TCAGGGAGTTGGACTATGGGGAACGTTTAAAACAGAGCCTGGCGAGGGACAGCCCTTGGGCCATGCACAGCCCATCCACCTGTCCTGCAGCTTCTAGAACCATCCACACAGACTCCAAGGCAGCATCCAGAAATCCAGAACACGCCCCAGCAGGAAACCTCCCCCCACCTGTCCCCCAGTCTGGCGTAGGACTCCTGGGTGTGGTTCGAGAATGGCACTGTCCCTGAGCCTTTGGGAACTTCAGGGCACTTGGCGGGGCTTCCTGGCGCTGCCTGGCTGAGTGGCCTCTTGGGCCTCAGTTTCCCCTCAGATATAATGCCGGGAGACTCTTCCCTGGGGTGGGGCAGGATGGCGACTGAGATGAGATGTCCCATCCCAGGGGCCCCCGGCCCTCTGAGCCCATTGTCAGCATCTGTCCTGTATCTGGTATCTCGGCCGTTTGGTGGGTGTTCTCGTTACTCATGTCCGTGTCAGCCGATAATGACCGGGTGACGTCTCCGGGCCGAGATAGGGGCGTCTGGATAAGGGCAGAGAATCTCAGCAATCACTCCTGGGTTCTCGGTCCCGGGGGCCTGATGGAGGTGGGGGGAGTGAGGCCACTTTCTGGGGGCCGGGGGGATGGGAAGACTCACAGGTCACTTGGCCCCTCAGAACCTCAGTTTTTTCACCTTTATGTTGTGAGGAAGGGACTCACCCAACAGACTGTGACAAAATGCCCTGCAGAGTGCCCTCCGGGAGTGGGGCCTGGGGGTGGGGACCCCGGGGGGTCTTTCCCCTCCATCCTTCTCCCCCTGAAGCAAAACCCGAAACAGGCTCTCTCACCGGGTCCGGCCCGGCCTCGCTCTGCCGCTTCTCTCTGCACCTGGTGGGGGTGCAGTGGGCACGGTGAACCTGCTCCCCCCCCCCCAAACCTCCTGCCTGGACCAGTGGCCACTCCGGAAGGGGCATGTGGTGCTGGGACTCTCCTGAGTCTGTCTGCTTGACTCACGGGGAGCGTGCCAAAGCGCCTGCTTTCCTGATGGTTCTATGCCCAGGGACTGTGGGCCGGAAGGGGTGTGTGTGTATGGGGGGGGACGGGGGGACGGACAGGTAGCGGCCAGGCAGTCCCGACCCCTTCCTGAGGCAAAGCGAAGTTCCCAGAGGTGACTTGCCCAAGACCAGTCCACTTCCGTCAAAAGTGGCCCCCGGTGGGGCTGGAGCAATAGCACAGCGGGTAGGGCGTTTGCCTTGCATGTGACTGACCTGGGTTCGATTCCCAGCATCCCAGATGGTCCCCTGAGCACCACCAGAAGTAGTTTCTGAGTGCATGAGCCAGGAGTAACCCCTGAGCATTGCCAGGTGTGACCCAAAAAGCAAAAAAAAAAAAACCCAAAACAGAAGTGGCCCCGGATCTGGGATCTGCTCGGGTGCCCCCCACACCCCGGGCTGCCCGTGAGCCATGAGAGCAGGACAGATGTGACCCCTGGGCCTGTGTGAGCTGGTGGTCACAGCGACAGCTTGGGGGGGCAGGGTTCAGAACCCACCTTGGCGGCTCCACCCAACTGAGCCCCCACAGCACCCTGTGGGTGCGGCCGTGCCCTTAGCTCTGGGGTTCTGGGGTTCACACACCTGCATATGTTCCCCCACCTCTGCCCCCAGTCCCAGAGAGCGGCAGAGCCTGATTTGGGCCCCCCCCCCGGCCAGCTGAGGCCCAGGTAGTTGAGGGGAGGCCGGGAGCAGGCAGTGGCGGCCCGTTGTTGGTGGGCAAGGTCAGAGGTCAGAGGCACAGGTCCCCAGGAAGCCTTTTACCCCCGGGTTCTGGGGTCCCTCGTGATATCAGAGTGCAGGGGCGAAGGCCTGGCGAGGCCCCTGGTCTGGGGGTCCCACCTTGAATCCGGGGACTCCCTGTGCCAGTGTGCCATGGTCCTTCCCCATGGGATGGGCGAGAGGGACCCTGTTGCTGTCTGTGAGTTTCCCAGGGACATGGGGGGACCCTGCCCTGCCCAGGCAGGAGCTTTCCAGAAGGACACGCCCCCGTGGCTCTGAGGCTGGGTCCCTCCCCACTTGTAGACCCTGTTCTTGCTCTGCTAAAGGGGCGCAGCCTCCCTCCTGCCCCCCACCCTGCAGAGCCCCGCTCTCCCCAGCATTGCGCAGGCTGGATGGGGGTCCGGAGGCCAGGGCTGAGCTCTGCTGTCTCCCTGGGCTGTCCCAGCCACTGGGGACTTTCCCTGGCCCTGGTTGCTCCATCGAGACCCCACTGCGTTCACACAGCCCTCGCACACGGGGTTTGTGCGGGGTTTAACTTAACGCAGGGTCACACAGCCCTGAGCGGCACCAGGGACTGTCCCTATCACCCCCGCCGTCTGCTTGCTGCCTGCTCCCCAGATTAATTTCCGGGTGCTTGGCCCTCTGTCTCCCAATTTTATCACCCAGTTTCTTTCTCAGTGGCCCAGAAACTCAGCGATGAGGAACCAGTGCCCCACTTGGCTGGGCCGCTCCAGGAGCACCCGAGCCCTAAGTCTGCACCTCGGCAGCAGGGTGGCCCCAGCCAGCACCCATCCAGGGCCCTCACCTCCTGGTTGCAGTCCTGGGCACCTTTGGCCAGGTGGGGGGATTCTCCCAGCTCCGGCATTTACTCTGCGAGTCCAGCTGTTGAATCTTTTTTTAAATATGAAGATACTTTACTATGTTTCTGCTATGTAGCATAATAGAGAATGTTTCGATTATATTTTGTCACACAGCAGATGGGACGGGTTTCTCTCCGATTCCGGAGAATCTCAACCTCATCTGTCTTTTGGATGAGCCGGTTTCTTCTTCTCTTCCTCCCTCTCGCCCTTCCTCCTCCCTCCCTCCTCCCTCCCTCCCTTTCTTCCCCCCTTTCTTCCCCCCTTCCTTCCTTCCTTCCTTCCTTCCTTCCTTCCTTCCTTCCCTCCCTCCCTCCCACCCTCCCTCCCTCCCTCCCTCCTTCCCTCTTTCTTTCTTTCCTTCCTTCCTTCCTTCCTTCCTTCCCCTTTCTTTCTTCTTTCCTTCCTTCCTTCTCCCCCTCCCTTCCTTCCCCTCCCTTCCTTCTCCTTCCTTCCTTCCTTCCTTCCTTCTTTCCTTCCTTTCTTTTTTCTTCCTTTCTTCTTCCCTTCTTTCCTTCCTTCCTTCCTTCCTTCCTTCCTTTCTTCATTCCTTCCTTCCTTTCCCTTCCTTCTTTCCATCCTCCCTTCCTTCCTTCCTTCCTTCCTTCCTTCCTTCCTTCCTTCCTTCCTTCTTTACTTCCTTCCTTCCCCTTCCTTCCCTCTCCCTTCCTTCATTCCTTCCTTCCTTTTTTCTTTCCATATTTCCTTTCTTCCTTCTCTCTCTTTTTCCCTCTTTCTTTATCTTTCCTTCTTCCTTTCTTTCGCAACCAGCAATGCTCAGAGGTTCCTGGCTGTGCACTCAGGAATTTCTCCTGTTGGTGCTCATCACATGGGATGCTGGGGATGGGACCTGGGTTGACCGCATGCAGGGCAAATGCCCTCCCCAGATCCAGTCTTATGGCTCCAGCCCAGATGCAGCCTCTTTGGATATCTGTGACGCCATTTGCAAGGGCAGTAATGGTGCTTGGTAGGACATTTTGCTAAGTTGCTCTGTCACGTGTCCTTGCTCGGAACACTCACTTTCCCCCTGTGATCTGGTTTTGAGCACTTGACTGTGTGCTTCTTCATGTTTGTGCACGGGCCTGGCAGAGGACGAGGCGTTGTGTGCCCATACGGGCGCCCACAGAGGGTGCAGTGTCCTCTCGCCTCACCCCCATCGAACCAAAGCGAGCTCAACTCTGTTTGAGCCGGAAGGAAGCGTTTCAGGACAGCTCTGCCCGGTGTTGCCCGTCTTACTGCCGCAGTGCCACAGAGCCAGGAACAATTCTCAGCCCTTGACAGCTGCTCACTGAGAACCCACCTCCTGTCTCCCAGCCGCCGAATCTCATTTCTTTCCTCCTGTCCTGCCAGGCGGGTCCATGGCCACTTTCCTTCCAAACCTCATCCTCCGCTGGGTCCCCCCAAACCCGAGCTGGGCACGTCTCGCCTCTCCCTGCTCCGCGGGGGTCCGTCTGCCTTTGGCTCCGGCCCTGCCGGCCTTCCCTGAGCCCAACCTCACTGGGGAGATGATCACAGACGTTGAGTCCAGAGGATCAAACCTGCTGGCCGCCACACCGGAAGCCAAGCTGCTGTGCGCTGTCCTGGTCCCGCTGCCACCCTGGGTGCTCTGTCCACATGCCCCGCGGGCAGGCTTTCAGGTGCTAAGTCCAGAATATGTGCAGGTCGGAGCCCAGGAGATTTTCAAGTAAACACCCTGCAGCCAGCCCCCAAGTTTGGGGGCGGCTGAGGGCAGCCTCTGAGTGAGAGGGCAGCACCCCAAGGTTTCTGAGGCACCCCGAGCCCCTCCCGCTGCTGTCCTGGTTTCCCCCAGGCAGACGGCCGCCCCACCTCATCCCCGTCCCCACCATCTGGGTCACATGCGAGCTTCCGGGCTCCTCTGCCAACACTCACAGTCTGGAGTGGGGTGGGGAGGGGTAGGGACAAGAGGCGGGGACAGACCCCGAAAGTCGCGTGCGCCCGGTGCGGGGGACAGACAGAGTTCAGGGTGTCGGTCTGCCTCATGGCACCAAGCGGCACCTGTGCCCGTCCCACAGCTGGAGGGACACGACCTGAGTTCCCGGCTGCTGAGGGAAGCCCCGGGGATCAGCCCCGCTCTGGCAGCAGGGGTAGAAGCCTCAGCCACCTGCGCAGTGGCTGGTCATCACAGCACTGGGGGACCCCTGGGCTGGTCCCAGGCCCAGCAGCCAGCCCGCGTTTTCCCTGCCTGCTTCTCCGTCGGCACCTGCGAGCAGTCAGGACAGCGGGTGGAGAGGCTCAGGCCTGGCACAGGGCTGGACAGGACAGGGCACGGTCCACATCTCCAGCAGGCAGTTTCTTGGTGACCATGAGCTTCGCCTCCCCTGGGCCTGCCCCTCCAGCCTGGCCCTGACCCCCGCCTCTCCCCACCTCTACCCGTAGGGAGCCGGGAGGCTGCCTTCACCTATGCCATCATCGCGGCCGGCGTGGCCCACGCCATCACGGCCGCCTGCACCCAGGGGAACCTGAGCGACTGCGGCTGCGACAAGGAGAAGCAGGGCCAGTACCAGCGGGACGAGGGCTGGAAGTGGGGCGGCTGCTCCGCCGACATCCGCTATGGCATCGGCTTCGCCAAGGTCTTCGTGGACGCCCGGGAGATCAAGCAGAACGCCCGGACGCTTATGAACCTGCACAACAACGAAGCGGGCCGCAAGGTAGGGGCGAGGGAGGGGGGGCATCTGCTGGGTCTCGCTCCCAGCACCGGGGGTGGGGGGGATGCTCAGCATTTGGGGGGTAGCCGGTCGGGGACCCCCAGAGTGGAATCTGGTTCAAAGATCGTGGGAGTCACTTAACGCAGTGAAAGTGGGCTGGGGGTTTGCGTTTGTCTGGGGGGGCCACCGGGTCAGCTGGTCAAGCCTGGGTTTGGACTGAGGAGGGCGGGGCAGGTGAGCTCAGTAGGAGCCGCCCGGCTGGAGCACCTGCCGCTGCTAATGTGGCCTAGGTCATCTCAACCAAGGTCTGGAGCTCAAAATAAAGGAGGTGATGGTTCATTTGCTCAAGTTCCTTCGGATCCTCCCTGGACTCAACTTCAAGACAGTCAGGGATGAGCCTGGTGGAGGTGGCCCGAGCACCCCTGCCCATGGGAGCAGAGAGGCACACAGGGCTGGGGAGAGGGGTCTCAGAGAAGCAGGCAGAACAACCCCCACTTTTGGGAAACTGATCCAAGCAAAAAGGGTGCACAGCTCCCTCAGGGCAGCATCTGAGCAGGGGCAGCTTGGCCAGGCATCCCTGGGCATCCAAGCCTGGTGCGGGCAGTGCACTGGACTCAGCCTGGAGTGGACTCTGGGGGTGCTCAGAGCCCCCAGACCCAGGAGGGGCAGGAGGGCACAGGTTGGGGCCAGCTGCTCAGGTGCCAGGACGTGTGTGGGCACTTCTGGGTCCCAGGGGTCAGGAGGAGAAGAAATGACATTAGCCAGGATGCCCTGTGTGGGGGACCAGGGGGGGCAGAGCGACTCAGCCGTCCGGGGCGCATCCCCAATGCCAGCTCTTAGGACAGGAGACTTGGTCCGCAGGGCCCTGGTTCCTTGGAATTCCTTCATTCACAGGCAGGGGCATCGTGAAGGGGCCCCATAAGTCTCAGAAAGACAGAAAAGGCAGGCCGAGAGATCGCACAGCGCAGAGGGCATTTGCCTTGCACGCGGCCAGCTGGGTTCAATCGTTGACACCCCACAGGGCCCCCAATACCTCCAGGAGTGATTCCTGAGTGAAAGGCCAGGAGTAACCCCTGAGCATCACCGAGTGTAGCCCCAAGCCAAAAGAAGTTAATAATTATTTTTTATTTTTTAATGAATCACCATGATGTGCAGTTACAGACTTATACACCTTCATGATTACATTTCAGTCATAAAATGATCGAGTACCCATCCCTCCCCTGGTGCACATTTTCTGCCACCAATGTCCCCGGTATCCCTCCTGTCCCCCCATCCTCCTACCTGCCTCTGTGGCAGGCACACTCCCTAATAAATAATTTTTTTAAATGTCAAAAAGCCTGGGAAACTACCTGTGATGTATTCGATATGCCAAACACAGTAACAAGAAGTCTCACAATGGAGACGTCACTGGTGCCCGCTCGAACAAATCAATGAACAACGGGAGGACAGTGCTACAGTCAAAAAAAGCTTTAGCAAAAGACAAAAAAAGGCGAAAAGAAGGGTCCTCATGGGGCTACAGCTGAGACACCAGCAGGGTAACCCACGCAGGGGCCGGGGCCCAGCTATCTGCAGGGGTCCTCAGACACACTTGTTGGGGGGGATCAGCCTTGAGGTGGCCCCTGGGAAAGGATGAGCTGGAGCTGGTGTTCTGGGTGCTGAGTGGAAACCAGGCCTGTGCAGGGGCACCTGCAGAGAGCAAGACAGGGCCCAGTGCTGAGCCAGCCATGGTACCGCCAGGTGGGACCCAGTGGGCAGAGGACAGCCTGGCCCGCAGGGGAGTCTGTCTGGAAGGGGTGCTGGGGGCCCGCCCCACCCCTCCGAGGCCTCTCCACATCCTGTGTGTCATTGCCTCAGGCCCACGTGTGAGTCACACAGAGCTCACCCAGCCAGCCCCAGGGTCACATCCCGGGGCCATGTCAGCCTGTGCCGTCCCCCCCACCCCCCGCCCTGGGCTCCAGATTTCTTAGGGCTGAGGCCACAGGTGATGGGCACCCCTCGCCCTGGCGGTTCTCACCCTCTGCAGCCAAGAGAAGTGATGGCAGCTCCCAGACTGACTGGGTGGCTCGTCGGCAGGGCCTGTCTGGGAGCGCAGGATGCGATTCCAAGCCTGGCCTGAGTATTCCATGAGGGGCCTGGGTTTCAAGAGCCCCACCACCCCCCCACCACCCGCACAGCTGTGGGGGCCACCCCCCCTGACTGACACAGAGCGGGAGGGGCCGTGCAGAGGTCCTCAGCCCAATCTTGGTAGGCTTCCTGGAGGAGTGGGCCCCTGCAAATGCATGAGGGTTAGCCAAACAGACGAGAGAGGGGATGCCCAGGCTAGTGTGGGCTCTGGTGGCCAGAGGTCAAGAGTCCAGATGGCTGGTCTGTGGGCCCCTGAGGTCAGCCGCAGGATCATGTCCAGGACAAGGTACCAGACAGAGGTCCTGGGGTGTCCACTCCCAGCTGCCCATGTGCAGAAGGGCAAGGGGTCCTGGGGAGCTGCTGGTGGGCTGGAAGAGAGACAGCGTCTTCAACATTAGCCCCAGGCAGGGATGCGAGGTCAGAACAGGGTCCACACTGGGGCTTGGGCAGCAGGAATGGAGGACCACGGCCATGCAGGGCAGGTAAGTGCCCATCCTAGAGCAGGGCTGGACAGCGGCCACTCAGCCCAGCCAGTCCCTCCTTCCCAGTCCTGTGACCTAAAGGCCCCACACATGTCCAAGTGCTCAGGGACCAAGAGGGCCCTCTGGCCTGGTCCTCAGTTTCCCGGACAGTCAAGTGGGCTCGCGAAACCCCATGACTCATGTCTCTCAGGCACGTTCGGGGCCAGGTGAGGGCCCCCATCGGAGCTGCCCCGGTTTCCTGGAAGGCACAGCCCTCCCGGGGAAAGCCCGGGGAAGGTTGGGCCGCCAGCGTGCGGCCCGGCCACAGCCACTACTCCTCTTGGAGCGTCTTGGAAACGCTCACAGATGTGTTTATCGCCGCTCGGGGCTCCCGCGGCAGGAGACAAGACTCAACCTGACGCGGCTCTGGGGCTCGTTGGCAGCTGGGGCGCGAGCAGGAGGAGGCGGGTGAAGCCGGGGAGGGGGTGTGTGGCCCAAAGGGCAAAGGTGGCCGGCGCGGGGTGCTGGGTCCTGGGTCCTGCGAGGTCTCTGTGGCTGAGCGGCTGGAGGGAGGCTGGGGTGAGCGGGTGAAGGAGGCGGCCGGCGCTGACATCTATCTCCTTGGGGGGTGGCTTTGGGATCAGAGTTTCTCTCTGTTGAAAGCCCAAGTGGTTCAGGTTGAGGTGGCTGGATATTCATTGGGGTCTGACTGCAAACACTGACATTGTGGGATGCCCCGTGGGAAAGAGTCAGAGGCCGGGAGCCGCTCGGAGTCTGTGGACGGCAGGAACCCGGGGGCCGGGGCTGCTTCCCTCTGGCTTTGGTGGGGACGACTCTAACCCTCCGTCGCTGTTGGGAGGTAGAGTTGGGGGGGGCGAGGATTCGGGGCTCCCTGCCAAGGGGGAGTGGGAAGCTCAGCCTGGGGGAGAGGGCCCCTCCTCTTAGCAGGCTGGGGGGCTGGAGGGCAGGAGCTCCAGGTGGACACAGTGGGAGGGTGGACAGGGCAGATGGGGGCGTCCAGAGTCGCGTCCTGGACACTCACAGCAGCGGCTGCGCTTAACAGGGCCCAGGACCAACCAGGCTGTGAGAACTGGGGGTGAACGGGGGTCCTGGGAGTAGAGGGGAACCTTTTGGGGGTCTGGGCATTCATACAGGGCCCTGGGGCCCTGGGGGGTTCTGCAGGCCCCGGGAGCCTCCTGTGGGGTGACCTGCAGAGACCATGCAGAGATGGGGGTCACGGGCTTCCTCTCAGGGGGGTCAGAGCAGCAGAGAGCCTGGCACTCTCACCCACACGGGCCTTGGAGTGGTAGCAGGAACAGCTGCTGAGGCAGCAGAAGAAACGGGACCGGCTGATGGGTGGTGGGTGGACACTGCCCCGCGCTGGGATGAGCAGGACCTTGGCAGAAGCCCCTGGGCATGGGAGCAGGTGATGGATGCTTGGGTCATCGACGGGACCCCGCGGCCAGCAAGGGGGGTGCCCGGAAGCTGCCACTCCCTGCATTTTCATTCAGCAGAGAGGCAATGTCTGAGCCCTTGCTGGCGGCCCCTGGCACGGGTGGGCAGGGCAGAGGGCAGAGCCCGGTCCAGGGGACACACAGTGGCCCAACTCTGGGTGTTAGGAATGACGGGGTCGCACCTGAATGACGAGGTCGGGGAGTGGCATCTGGGGTGCGTTCCCCGCGAGACAGTGGCGAAGGGGGCTCTCAGTACTGGCCCTCTGCTCCCTACAGCCCCATCCAGGGCCCCCCGGAAGCCCCCACGAGCCTCAGGAGGACGTGGCCACCGGCCGGTGGGCGGGGGAGATGGGGTGTGGGGTCCCCGTGCCCCGGGGTCTCCGGCGGCCGCTGGCCCTGCTGGAATGCACCGTTGGCTGCGGCCCGCTCTGGCGAGATGAGCTCAGGCCGATGGAATTCCACCTGAGCTCGAGTCCCCTCCCTGGCCCTGCCCAGCCCCTCGCTGGCTGGCGGAGGTGCCGGTCTTGTCCCTTCCTGCCCTGCCCCGTCTGGTCTGCAGCTCCTGTGAGCGGGTCCCACTCTGCCTGGCCAGGGGAGGCCTGAGTCAGGGTGTCCTGGGGGTGGGACCCAGATAAGGGCCGCTCAGCTATGCCCCTCTCTGCCGTCCTGAGGGCCACTTGCATATTTGACCCGAGAAGGCGTTCAGGGGTGGCATGTCAAGGGCCGTGGTGCCAGGCTCTACCAGGCCAGCTGCTGTGGCCTCCTTCCACCTCAGGGCCCAGGGCACAACTGGGTTGTCACCTTCTATGGACCTGGGTGCATCGCCTATCTCCAGGGTTTCCATAGTGGGACCTTCCTTCCAGCCCTACAGGGGTCTTACAGGGCGGGGGTGGACACTGAACCCGGAGAGCAGACACACACGCGCCCAGAGTTCGGGCTTATACCTGCCTCAGGGCCTTTGCAC